TTTTTTTTTTTTTTTTTTCTGCAATGAGAATCTGTTGCGTCATGTTGACAATCCCAATCCACATGTTGGCAGAACTGGGAAGTGAGCTACCAGCAGGACACTCCCGTGGCCCCGCGCTTTGACGTCAACGCTCCCGATCTGTACATCCCCGCCATGGGTTTCATCACGTACGTGCTGGTGGCTGGGCTGGCCCTGGGCACACAAAACAGGTACATGTGAACGTATACTGTCCCTTCATTGGGTGATTTTCAGTGGCACTAAACTATGAAAGAAGGTGTGTCATTTTCCCACAGGCAAACACACTGTACATTAAGGAAATTTTGAGCCAAACCGCTTCCCACTTGATTGATTCCGATTCCTGTTCCTGTTTTTGTGGCCCCTCAGGTTTACTCCCGAGCTGCTGGGGGTTCACGCAAGCTCGGCGCTGGTGTGGCTCATCATGGAAGTCTTGGCAGTTCTCCTGTCACTCTACCTCGTCACCGTTAGCACCGACCTCACAACCATCGACCTGCTCGCTTTTGCTGGGTACAAATATGTCGGGGATGTGCACATTCGTGTTCTATTTTGCTTTTGTAACAGTAGTTAGCAGGCCTTTAGTTTTGTGTTTTAAGTATGACGCGAAAGAAACTTGAGGTCATAGTATAAATCCATTTTTTGTAGCACTTGCTCATAAATGGCACGTTGGGGCCTATCACAGCTGACATTGGGCAAGAGGTGGTGTACACTTACATTAACACCCAGTTTAGGCTTCATTTAATCGAATGCATTTTTGAAATGTCGTGGTCTGAATTACGTGTGTGGTTGTGTGTCCTTTCCTCAGAATGATCGTTGGTTTAGTAGCAGGACTCATGTTTGGGAGGCCAGCTTACTATCTCTCTTTACTGTGGTGCTGTGCTGCCATTTTTGTGTTCATGGTGAGTCGCCGTCCTGTCAGAAAAGTAGAATTCAGCCCTTGGCAAAAATGTGGGATTTTTCTTTCAGTCGCAGAGGATGTTAAATCTGTTGTTTAAATCCGTAGAGCAGATCACATACATGACCCGCAACCAGTGTCATTTCAAGGGGCAACTTTTATGGCTTTAATAGACACAAAAATAAGTCAATAAAAAGTACTCTTCAACAATTTGGCTCCAGGCTTCTCGGATTGCTCTTGCCAGATCAGCTTTGCAGGTTGGAGCCTTGTCCTGCACTTTCAACTTTCACCAAAGAATTATTTTGGACGACTCAGAACAAATCCAGGCAGCATAGTGGTGCGTTTTATTGTTCACATGAAACCAGTTTGTGGTGCAAAACATTTTGGCGACTGCTAGACTAAAGAAAACATGTGTGAGTGATGCTGAGCTAGTACATACCTGAAATTCAGACATGCACGCATGAACTAATCGGCGTTTACGATGCATTTTCAGACCCGCACCCTGCGTCTGAAGCTCCTGTCCGAAGCGGCGGCGGAAGGAAAGCTAGTGAGAGTAGCCAGAAACCAGCTGAGGATGTACCTCACCATGTGTATAGCGGCGGCCCAGCCTGTTTTCATGTACTGGTTCACCTATCACCTGATCAGATAAATGCACCCACACTGGGGGGAGAAAGAGACACGCACACATGCACAGAAGCTGCCCTCGTGTGTTCGCGGTCTGTCAGAGTAAAACATTAGGTCGTGCTCCATCTTTGCACGGAGGAGCACCACGCCACATGCGACAACGAGCAAGAGAGAGAGTGTGTGTTTTTAATGCGTTTAACTCTCACAGGATAGCTGTTTTTTTGTACTACCATGATATTGTCTGAACTTCTCTTGTTCTCTTCTCTTCATCCAGAGCCTAATGTACGTCTACGAAATAGTTCCGTGGATGGTTCGGATGGCAGCCAGTTGTTTGAGGACACAAGTGGCTGTGGTTCGCAGACACCCCACCACAGGTGAGGCCCACCAGACAGGCTCAACATTAATATGTTAATAATTCCGTAGGGAATATTAAAGACATTGTGCTTGTGTGTGTGTGTGTGTGTGTGTGTGTGTGTGTCTGGGGGGGGGGGGTTACAAAACTGAATGAGGAATTCCAGTTGCCGAGAGTTCATGTGCCTCTCTGTTGACAGGAACCAACATAGTGGACGTCAGGCAGCAGGTTCTCCAGGCCAGTCCATGCTGTCAGAGCCCCTGTCGA